CAAATAATACAAAATTAATGTATGCATGAATTAAAAATGAGAGGTGGCACAAACATAAAGTCACTGCTGTTGAAATGGAATTGCACTGCCGTGTTCCTCATGAATTGCCACGTTATGCTGACACTCCTCAGAGCAACGCTGCTCTGCCTCGGAGGGTGACAGGCTCCTGCACCATTGAACACAGAAAGCAGAGCGACATCCTCATGCAGGAGAGGATGGTGTGGGGGTGGATTTGTTAGAGGGAGGCACAGCCTGCAGGTGTCGTGCACAGCCATAGTGCCTCAAGGAGCCTCCACCAGCCCCTTCCTCCTCCCTGCCCTCCCTATTCTTCATCTGCTTGGAAAGGGCATGTGAAAAGTGGGAGAGAGGGAGGTACAAGTCATTGTCAGGCTGCTCTGGGATAGTTTTCCAAATATACTGTAACAGAAAGTATGTCCTAGACCCAGAAGTATTTCATTAATTGTTGGAAAGTAATTTTATTTTTAACCTTGCTTTTCTTTTTTTTCCTTATCTATATTTTTCTCCTTTCCCCCCAAATTTTCCGCTTTGCTGTTGTACCAACACAATCCTTCTTTGTGTTGGTAGATTTACAGAAATCAAGGTGTGCTATATAACTTCCAATCCAATGCTAGTAATCTGCAAGGTGTACTGAAACAGGCTCAGCACAGATCTTCATAAAATGCAGAAAGGTTAACCCAGTTCTCATCCCAGAACACGCTCAGAGCTGTTCTCAGCACAAACAGCTACAATGCCCATTAGCTGGGAGTGCAGATAATGTTGGCCAACACATTTCTTACTTTGAACCCACWGAGTAGTTTCCTATCAAAGCAAACWAAAGTTAAGTTTTTTGACTACTGAAATCTCTCTTGACTGCCCTAAAAAACAGAAAACATAAAAGAGGTTCCTGTCATAACCAGCTGATCATTTGGGGGTGAACTCTCTGAGCTTCTCCATTGTCCTTCTATCATTTTCCTTCAAAATATGATTTTTCTCCCCCATTTAATATTTACTCCTATTGTTATTCTAAACTTAATTTTRTATTTGTTAGCTTAGTTTTTCTTATTGATGCTAAACTATGATGCAGAGTAGATGTTTTAGCTTCTATTTTCAAAATCCTGTCGACCTCCCTCTCATACAAAACCGGTGAAGAAAGGCTCATCCATGTTCTTCTGTGTCATTCAGTCACATTTTCTACTCTAKCATACATTTCTTTTTCACTTCTCTCAATTCAGCTAATTCTAAACTTTCAGACACGTCTCTTTAGTGTGTTTATAAATGTCTTCATAATTTCTCAAACACATGCAAAAGCTAAATATGCTGAATGTRTTTTAGAAATAATTATTTTCTCATCTCTAGTTCCCAGTCTTGCATGCATCTATATTTAGTTGACTACAAAATTGTCTATTACATAATTTCATTAAGGTTTTCCTAGAGTCCATCAAAGTCTTGAGCCACCAGAATAGTATTTTGCTATGAGCAAATTTTGTAAATGAAGATGTTCCTTTTCTCTTCTAAATTGCAAATAAACAGGTTGGAAATGTCAATTGTATTGTGACATTCATTGACAAATTCAGTGATTAACAGTTTTCCACTTTTGCTAATTATCTCTACATACTTCCCACTTTGCAGTAAATTGTTGGCTCATTACAAGATGAATTGTCAAGAGCCTCCAAAGTCAGATTTTACCAAAACTCTTCAGCAAACTTTGAACTAAATGGTTTATTGTGCATTTCATAAGCTCTTGATGTTTTGGAGACAGATTTTCTGTAGACATCTCAATGGCTTCATTTCATTATTTTTAATTAATGTCTATGTTGCGTCCAGTGCTGAATCATTTTCTGCACTGACACAGAGTGGCAACTGGCTTGTGATTTCACTTCTGTGCTGACATCCCCTTTTGGAAGGAAGATCTTCCTACTCTTTTTTCCTCTGGGTTTAATCTAGTCTTACCCAAGCAGTCACAAGCTGTGCCACCACAGTCAGAGGATTTCTTTCTCCAGGGAAACGAGCAGCAGCAGCGGCAGCACATGCAGRGCTCCAGCCCACACTCCAGCCCACACTCCTGGACCATTCCTATGTCCCAGCTATCTGGGGATGAGCAAATCACCCAGCTCACCAGCCCTCCTTGGGGATGGAGAACACGAGTCCTTGGGACAGAGAGCCAAGCCCTCAGCAGCACAGATGGGAGAAAGGATGGAAAACCAAACCCTGTTCCCATCTCCCCTCAGCTCAGGGCTCAAGGGCTGGGGTCAGATGTGAGCAACACTCCTGGGTCACCCACGGCTGTGGCATCCCTCCAACAGGTGCCTGTTCTTAACAAGGGCCAGGATAAAATTGATTTAGGGAATTGCAGCATCAGTGTCAGAATGACAGCACTGTGAATTTGTAATAGCTCCCAGACCAAGRTACATATYCAAGAAACTGAGGTTTTWGTTCATCTTGTCTTTAATGTACAAMGRTCTTCAAATGRATATTGGACTAATTATTRTGCAGGTGAGGTGTTWAAATACATGTAACATCACAAGACTGATCAGTGTTAGCACCATGCTCTAACCTCACAATTTTAAATTTTAAAAATAAAGATYAGCAGAGCTTTAATTCCATTGCCAGGCAAGAAATTGACGAAGAAATATTTCTTTCTTCAGAAACTGGGGAACGGACTCCAAGCTTTTTTATCCTACAAGGCAGGATAACTAGAAAATGTTTCTTCCCCTTTGTTTTTCCTGCCCTGCAAGACACTTCAACACAATTCTGGGCTCAACCTCTACAACTCTACATTATAAAACACCAGCATTTCTGATATTAAATGACAAAGAATGCTTCAATCTAACCTCAGAAAAGAAAACTTAAGTGCTTTAGTGATACAACAGGTCAAATTTTWGAGCCTGTTTTTGAAATTCTAATAATTCAGTGCTGAGACACATCTTGGATATGCTACAAGTGTCTGTTGCTCTGGAAATATTTTTCAGTGAATATTAACTCCCTGTTTTAGTGAACATCTTTAATGTTGAACTATTTGTTACAGATGCAGGGCAACACCACTATCTGTTCTGCTACTGATAAGAAACAAACTGTAATACGCTACAATTTAAGAAGGCAAGCCAAGCTACTTCTTTGACTTCTGGATAGGAGGTGCTAGTATATTTATTTTAATTCAAAAATTAAAGTCAGTTACGTACACAAGTGCTGAAAAAGCATAGAACCCTGAACATAGCCCTATTACCATTCTTGATGTCTTATATTGTGCAAAGATCGTGGGTATTGTATTCTTCCATGTTTCCCACAATCAGTGGTCCATCTTCCAAACATTCCTCCAGTGAATGGAAATCAGTCGWATTTGCCTGTACTTCTGTTTATGTCAGGTTAATGCATTCCTGCTCATTGACTCTGCATTTTCTGAGCCTTTAATTTTGGCCCTTAAACAGTGATGGGTGAGAGTTTGCATGTKCCTTAAAAATCACTGATTCCTCAAGTCATTGTGGGGCCTTCTCAGCTGAGTCTAAACTGCAGGAGGTAGCTGTGTGYTTGCCTCAGAGGTGCTGCATTATCGAGAGCTTGCATGTCACATAGGAATGCAATGAYATGCCCCAGATTTGGATGGGAGAGTCGGAGAGGAAATTCCACATGGAAACGTAGGAATTGTGAAGCAGACTTCAGTAATCAGCTTTTCTGAGCCCTAACGGAACAGCAGATGCACTGAGGACAAAGGAACTCCTAAACCATCACTGTAGGAGTATTTGTAAGAAGCAATTGTTTGGGATTTTAACAGGCAGGAAAAAACTAAGGAGCAGCTGTCTCAAAAAAAAAACAGACTTAAATCAAAAACAGCTAGAGCTTTGAAGGGAACTGGGCTGAAGCCAGAGGTTCTAAAGGTTTAGGACAAAATGGAGGTGGATTTATAGAAATTACTGAAAAGAGGTGAAATAGAAATTACAGCATGTCTGCCCATGCATCTTAGCAGGAATTGAAGTGGAAATGAATGAAAATTTGGGGGTTAATTTCTGCTGGGAACAGCCCCCTTAGTCATGGTCAGAAAAAAATTGTTGAAGAGGTGCTAAGGGTAGGAGGAAATAATACAGTGGGAATGAAGCACTGTGGAAAAATACTGACCCTAACTGCTAAATTTGGCACAGATATATCTAGGAAGTTAATCCTACTGAATGTTTGCTATATTGGGATATCGGTTACTTATCAGAGGTATGTATGTGTGCAGAATATGATATTTTCTGTAGCTTTCTTCAGCCAACTGTACCATTAGAAATGATAATTTGTAATATTCTAAGACTGATGTTTTGCTCAGTGTAAGGTGACACTTTCCTTGCAGGATATCCAAACTAATCAGACTGCCAACCAACAGTCATCTTATTAGTCTGGCTCCCCGGCTTTTAGAATGTCTCGTAATTTTGTGAAATACTTCTGGTGCTGAGATTCTATCAAACTGTATCTTACAAACAGGGTATCCAGTAATGCATATCAATTTCAATAACCAGAAACTGTGAAAAACATCCATCTTCTGTAAGTAACAAGTATATGACCCATCTTTCTTTTTCCTCATTGAATACATGATAAATTAATGCTAATTCTGTGCCAGCTCCACACTGCYTATGGGGGAAGACCCAAAATGAGCTGTTCCTCTTCTGGTGCCTGTGATTAGAGCCAGCCTTTGATTCTCAATGATTCTTGACTTATTTGGTCTCTCCCTGTTGCATTTCATTGAACACAAATGATCCTTTAAAAGTTAGGGAGCTGGAAAATGAGTGGCACACAGTGGTGTGATACAGACAATGACAGATCTTAAGTATTTGTGCCTACAGTGGAAAGTGGATGATAAATTTTAAAGTGTGCATGTGGGTGTTTATTGACATCACAGGTGGTTTGTGAGGAGAAAAAGTACAAATTCATTAATATTAGAAACCATGTTTTCTCTGTTTAGTTCTAAAAGAGGCAATAACAGCTTGGTATATGCTCCTTGGTACAACAGTGTGATATATTAATTTCAGAGGTTATTTTCCCATTGGAAATGACAGTTGGCTGTACTCTGCAGAGATGGGACCAAGTCAGTYGTCAGCATGAACTTTTGGGACTCTCAAGAAAGCGCCAGACTGGAAAAACTCTGCCTTTGTGCTGGTGAACATAAAGGACTTTACATTCTGGCTCTTCGACATTTCTTTGGACATTGAAAGAGGAACAGTGCACACTTGGGAACACCCATCTGTAAAAGGGTTGTAGATTTCAGCCTGGGCAGCAGTAATGCAGAGCTGGAGGAACTGGGAGAGAGGGTAGTTCCATGCTTGGGAAGAGTGACTTCTCCTTGTGGCTTCATTTTTGGGAGCCACGTGTTGCTTGCACAGGCTCTCTCCCCAGCAGGAGTGCAGGAAGTTGCTTCCCAACCTGAGCCTGATCCCAGGAGGTTTCTCACACACATTCCCAAAGGTTCAGCATCARCAGGAATTACTGACAGCAGTCAGCCAGCCCCATAACCCCGTGGTATTTAAGGGTTTTGTCTTTAATCCTGCAGTCTGAGAAAGGCTTCAAAGCCAGATTTCACACTTGCTGCCCTGCCACATGCCCATTGGGCCCTCTGCAAGAGGTGAGGTGGTGCTGCTCTCTCATCAAAGCTGATTGCCTCTGCATTTTGTGTGTAAGACCCCAAAAACCCCAATAGAAAGCATTGATTACTGCACTAACCCCAGGGGCTCCACTGCTGRCTCCGAATGAGCAGGCATGGACACACACAAGAAAAAAGCTCTGGTCATTCATGGAGCTTTAATGGCCAAAATTTAGTTTGCCAACAGAGTTAGGAGTCCTTGGGGGTGGCTGATGGGCTTTGGGGGATCGCAGTTTTGGATGAATGTGCYGAAAGCACTCCCTATGCTCTTCTTCTGCTGCTAAAGTCCCTTATAGGAGCTAGTCATGYAATTATTTCCATTCCCTGATTGAGTTATGGCAATTAGTAATACCATTACCGTAGGACAGAAGCTCTGGTGAAGAAGTGAGACCTTTAATAATCAGGTTTTGTACAAATAAAGAACAAGAAGTGACAATCTAGGTATAACTCCAGGGACCAGGAATAAGTCTTTAAAAAAGGTCTTTGGGGCTTTGAATCCCTCAGGGAGAGGGAGAAGTTAAGGGAGAGCTTGAAAAAAAAAAAAAAAAAAAAAAAAAAAAAAAAAAAAAAAAAAAAAAAGAAAAAAAAAGGATTTGTGAACTTGAAAATGTCACACATTTTTCTGTTGAAGCAGTGCCTCATTGCTGTTGTTAACGTGTCACTGTAACACCTGCTGGCCCTGATTAGGATTCCTCCGGGATGGGATAATCACAGAGCACAATGTGGCCACAAAGAAATTACAGCTCATGATCTGCAGCATATAAAGGGGGAATAATGATAGACTCAACCAGATTTATGCTGGGCTACCCATACATATGGGCTGTATGGATGCATTTGTGTTTTCATTTAAGATTTTGATTTAGCTCTGTAAATATCAGTGCTACCTTATAACTCTCAGCCTGGCCATTATAAGTTGGCTGCTCTTAGGGWGTCATTGAAGAAGATCTCAAATAGGGATTTGAAATAGGAGAAAATAACAGCTTAGACATAGGCTACTGTAGGCTGGGCTGGCTAAGGGACAAATTTACATTTAGATTGAGCCTCTTCACATCTTCTCTAAGTAATTGTAAACTCTCTTGTGCCTCAGCCCCAGAAAAAAAAAATTTAGGCAGTCCTACACTGCCAAAAACTGTCTTATGCTTTGTAAGATGTGTGATAGCTAATCTAAGTAGTCAGGCTTAGCATCCACTTTTCATAATTATTTGTGCAAATACAGCTCAGTTATCAAATGTCAGCATTAATCAGACAAAGGATATTGGCATTGCCAAAATAAACGTGTTGTAAGTGTTGTGTCTGATTATTTGTATTATTCAACCAACACCCAGGCGTCCTATTATGTCAAGTGCCGCACAAGCATGTAAGAAACCATTCCACCAGGAGGGAGTGCATGACTAATTTATGATAAGAGAAAACAATTGGACATTACAAGCAAATAAAAAGAAAGAGAGAGGAGAATTAGGGTGGTCATGGTAGTCTGTGACTGTGTGTTTCTATAAAAACAAATAATGAGTTTTAAGTAAAGGAAAAAATGTTTTGATATAAATRAATAAGTAATATGATGCCAGTAATTCTTAGTGGGCATTTGCCTAGCCCAGTGGAGATTTCTGTGGTATGTACTTAGCTTTCATATTGGGGTCTTATTCACACCATGCCTATTTACACCATTCTCGTAGGGGTCTCCAAATGGCATTGCAGAGGACAGAGGAACACAGCCAAAATCCTACAGCTGGCTCATACCACACAAATCTGCCATCTGCACCCAGCCAGGCACGTGCCCTGSAGGGCTGTGGGGGCTGCATGTCTTTGTTATTAAATGCCTTATACTGCCAGCACAGCATAAAGGGATCCTGATGTGACTGATCGTCCATCTCCCTCTAATGTGTTCTGCTGCAGCATGTTTGCAGTGCCACAGCCTGATTTTGTTTGAGCATTAAAGYGAATAAATCACTTTATTAAGGTRCCTAGTTGAACTGGAGCTGCCTGGSACAGWGAGCATTGCTGTTTGTTTCWATGRGAGGAAGGCACACAGAACAYAAAGATACACAGAGTTTACAGAGGTATCGACTCTCCAGTCTTCTTTCCAATCTGAGGTCACCCTGTCATGGGTCTTTAATTATTCTGAGTCTCTGTTTGTCAAGGGCACCTCCTTAGAACTTTGGATGAGTTTTGGTCCTCTTTGCCTGCAGGAGCTTGTGGTCGGTGATGCACAGAGATATAACAAGACATCTTAAAGCATTTAGCAGTTGAAACAAAGTATTTAGTGGTGGGAGGGAAAAAGACAAGTTAGAAAAAAATATATTTATTAATGTATTTGCARTATAAAATTTACAGGGTAACCACAGGAAACTGAGCTCTGTCRGGCACTTAAGTGTCTCAGATTAATTCTCCCAGACAATTCCCAGGCTTTTGTGAATGTGCTCCTTTTTTCACATCCCTAATTCTTTTCCCCTAAAGTGCAAAGAAGCCTGGCACTGTCCCTCAGCTATTGTTTGAAGAAAAGTGGCTTATCTTGAGCCATACTTTTCCTTTCATTTTCCTTTTGAATTGAACCATTCTGTTCATGGGGCAGAGTCAAAACAGGGTACTCATAAATTATCACAGAGCAGTTCCCCTTTCATCACAGGCATAAAAACTTTGCAAATCTAGTAGGTGAAGCTGGAATTCCCACCTATTCTTGGAATTTATAGTCAAAACCAAGTGAGAGTGGTGATATAGTGGTGCAAAATAGTTGTGATATCTCTCATGTATCCATAATATTTAATGTTTCCATAATAATTACTATTTCTCGTTACAAAATTCAGCAATTGCCATCTCTTTCGCATTCMTTCAACTGCCCAGCAGTGTATTGACAAAAACAAAATTTAAAAATTATAAAAAAGAACGGACTAGGAGCACAACTTCAWAGGAAACACTGATAATATGTGATGGCCTAACACAAATGCTGTGACATTAAAATGTAACAGTAGTTTACATTTTATAAGCCATTTTTCTAGATCAACTGAGTCACTTCATATTGCTTCTATACACTGGTTATCTCATCCAAACAAGTATATTACTAATGTTCTACATGGAGGGAGAATGAGGGGGCTTACACCTGCAAGTGGGTTTGTTCTGTTTGCCTATCCTCAAAGTATTTTCTCCACATTTTAAAGGATTTGTCCTAACGAAGTCCTGCCGGTAGCTCTGCTAGATGTACGTACCGGCAGCAGCAAGTGAAATCTCTGCCACAAAGAGGTACTTTGCCGTGTGGCCTGGAAGGCACATTTGGATGCAGGAACCCAGCCGTCTGGCAGCGATGCCAACGGGTGGAAAATAAGGGCACTAGCAGAATTGGCATTTTCAAGAGATCAAAAAAACCACCGGACAACACAGCATGGCATCATCCGCTGTGTGCTCCGGAGCAGAACTTTCATCGCCTGCCCACTCGCGGAAGTACCACACCGCCCGAGGTGTCGAGAAGGTCTGTCCCTCAGGCGGGGAGGGCGACGGACCCTGGCCACCTCCTCCCCTCCGCTGCCGCTCCAAGCCCCGGCTTTCTCCCGGGGTCTGGAGCCGCCCTCGGCCCTGGTCCCGCCGCCGTCCCGCCCATCACCGCTCTCCCGGCTCACGCTGCCCACGCCGGCTGCCCGGGGCGCTGCCGTGGGGCTGCTCCCAGTTCCTGGAGATGTCTAAATTTGAGTGTTATTTTTTTTTCACCTTTGCAACCTTTACAAAGTAAGGACTACCTGTTGCATACTCATGCGGCAGCGCTATTCAGCAGGACAAATCAGCGTTCCGCTCGCTTACCGGGAGAAAGGACCCGGGATGCCCGAGCTGTCCGGTCTCTTCCCCAGGCAACTTGGCCTGGCCCCGGTCTGGCACTGCCAAAATCGGCCGCCTGGTYTCGCCTTGGCCACCCGTCCCACGGTGCCCAGTGCCCTCAGGCTCCAGCAGACCCTGGGGCTTTTGCTTTTCCAGACCCTTCCTCAAGGACCTGGCCTTGAGCACAGATGAATGGAGCGGGGTACCTGGAGAGCCGCACGGTGCTGCCCCACCCGCTCCCCAAAGCCTGTCCTCCCCCGAGGACCCTGCAGTCCCTGACGTCCAGACGTGGATGATCTGAGCCTCCCAAGGACTTCAGRAGCTCAGCACGCTTTTACCACTTTCGTCTGATGGATAAGGCAGCCACCGCGGCYACTCCAAGGTCTCCTGCGCCCAAGCGGAATAATCGGAAACATCCCGGCTAGTGCTGCCCTGCTCTCCCCATTAAGGCTATGCCTCTTTCCCACGCCTGAGCCTCTCCTCCCTTTAATTTACTCTCCGGGTACTTTGCAAACGTAAGGGCTGCAATTTCACATCTCCGTGCTCCTTTCCGTATCTTTTGTAGTTCAGCCAGAGCCAGGAACTTGCTAATATCCTCGGATACTCGGCTCTGCCTCTAGGTGAACCTGTATCTGCCTTGTGCAGAGAGATAATGCGGTGGCTGTTGTTTTGTCGCTGCCTGTCCCYGGAGAGAGCGTTTT